TTTTGGAATTTTTTCTGTAATGATAACCTTTGTTGCATTACAGAAGCGCTGAACAAACTTTAAGGTTGCTGAACCCTTCATTTTCCTCTGTAGCCAAAGAAAGCTGATATTCTCTTCTTGAGGCTTTTTCAGTGAAGGTGCATCTTCATGCTAATTGTCTATACCAGTTTCGTAGACTGTAAGACTTCAGATCATACATAAATATATATTTATGTGTTTGGATCCCTTTCTGAATCGAGTCTGAGCTCAAAACACTTTGAAGTTTTCCACCTCATAGATTTTCTTATTAACAATTATTGTCCTGAAACCATGTATTCAATTAACCAGGAACTGTTATGTGTACAATCTCTTTAGATCAAGAATATGGTCTGATTCTCATTGTAATGTCTCTTATATTCCAAATTTTTATGCCAAGATGCCAGAGCCTTGCATTCTGTTTTCATTTTGGTTTCCTTGATCCATAGTCTAGGATTACCTGCTTTCCTCCTTAAGCATGTTTGTATCCAAAGGTATAGGAGATCATCATACTTTAAAACCCATACTTAGGGTAAGTTTACAGTTGTAGTTTTAACCTGAGTATACATGTGAAGTAGCCTAGGGATCTGTGGCAGCTTGGTCGCAAAGGTTTGAGTACCTCTAGTAGCTATAGTTATAGCTGTGATTGTAGAGTACAGTTTTTACTTACATATCTGTTTAGGAAGGATAATATATTGCCAGATAATGAGAGTTGTTGGCCTTTTCTAGAAAATGTTAAAATATATATTTCTTTAAAACTAACTCATGTATTGGCATTTGCTTTCTGCCCCTGCAGCGACTAGTGGCAGTTTGCTAATCCCTAGTAGCTTTGGCAGTTATGCCATGCATTACAGCAAATCTATCACTGTTGCCCTTAAATACCATAACAGAGTAAAGGAAGTGAAGTTCAGCAGCTACTAATGGAGTATGGAAAGTAGAGGAGAGGAAAAATTACTGCTATTGATAATAAATAAGTACCACAGAAAAGCTCTACTTTTGCATTTTCTACTTATAAATGTTGCAGCTGAAATGAAAGGACACAATGAGTTTGCTCTGCTTACTTTTTTGGTATCTTTTATCTTTTTTTCTGAATGTGTTTTCAGACTTTTGGACAGAAAACTTGGCTTTATTGACTCCAGATACTTTTCTATGGAGACTTTTTTCAACTATTTCCTTTCCCTTTGTGACATTAAAAAGGGAGTCCCTTTAGCATTCATTTAGATCCTTCATGGAAGGATTAGGGGCAGCACAGCATAACAAAATAATATGTTTCTGTCCATCCTGATTTCAATAAATGATTTGGAAAATCTGTCAATGTTTTGTTGGGGATGGGAGGAATGATTAAAGAAGTGAAATGAAGAACTGTAATAGAAATATGCTCTAGTATACTATTTCTGGCCAAAATATCATTCACTGATATATTTCGTTTACCAGAATGTCTCATGGGTCTGAATCCTGAATTTTGGTGAATATTTTTACCATATTTATAGATCAAAAATAACATTGGTAGTGTTTTATATTCTTTTTTTACTATTCTATAAGCTCAGAAGTTAAAGCCCCAGTGCAAAGAAGCTCAATGTTTTTACATATTTAAATGTAAGCATTTATCTTGGAATTCAGAGAAATGAAGCTTTATTTCATTATTTTCTTAGCACTTCATTTTCCATGCAAACTGTTCATCACTTCCTCTGTTATCAGAACCAAGTTCTTACTAAAGCTTCCTGACAACTAATAAGTATCTGCAGTTACTCCTGCATCTGTCCTAGCTTTTCAAAACTAGTTATATCCTTTTTACTTAAAAAGAGACAAGATTTTTTACAGTCTATAAGTTTTGTTTGTTAAAGCAAGAAGCTTTAGCACAGGTTCAGCAAAAAGTAAAATTGAGTGGTTTTCTGAAGTGAGAATACATCTTTGGGTTATCTCAGCAGAAAGATGAGAAAACAATTGTCTTTTACTGATAGTCCATGATTTTCCAAACTTTCTTTCTTTCTTTCTTTCTTTCTTTTTCTTTCTTTCTTTCTTTCTTTCTTGGGGAGCAACCATTCCATTCTAAGCTTTGTTTTTCCTTGTTTTGCTTTATGTTCATGTTTTCTGTTATTTTACAGGAATAATTGGAATCATACTGAAACTGATATATTTTAGGGTGGTTGTGTGTTAAAAAAGCAAACTAATTCTTAGATTCTGTATTCACTACATTGCCTTATAGATTTTTCTGCAGATGCCTGTACACTTGAACACATGCTGTTTCTCATAAGAGCTCTAAAAATGGACTGTCTTGAAGCTGGATACCTGTGACTTTAATGACATCTATTACCCTAATCTGAAAAGAAAAACATTGACTTGTCTGGGAAGACCTGCTCATATAAGGCTGCACCTCCCCCATCCCCTTCATTCAATATCTGTCTGAGGCCAGTGAGCAGTTTGCTTGATAGTTAGCTAGGATTTTAAAAGCAAAAAGGGCAGTACAAACAGCTGTTGAAATGTTTTTCATTGGGTGGGAAGAGCTAGCAGCATATCACTTTTCTGTGCGATGCAATTGCTTATTCCTAATTTTATCCATGTTTTATGCTCCATGCTTATGAGCAGAAAATTCATATAAGAAAAGTCTATAGGCTTATGCTGCAGCACTTTGCAGTCACAGTAAGCACATTGTTCCATTATACTCCTCCTTGTTCTGCCATAGTTCTATTTTTTATAGTTCACTTGTCACTTAAATCTGGATTTGGAGAATGGACTGAGCACAGAAATGACTTCCATAGCTTTGCAAGAACCAGGCAGCCTCTTGGGAAAATTAATTTTACAGGGGTTGCTTTGTTATTTCTGAAGAGCTTCCTCATAGGGGATGATGGGTGTTCATTTCATTCTGTACTAAATTCTGGTGAGGCCTTCTTATTCTTCCCCTTGACTTAATCTCTCCAGGAATATTACAGATATTGCTACACGTTATGATATTAAACATGTACATTTTCTCATTTCTAATGTGAACAGTTTACTGCTGGCATTTTACATTATGCCTTCATAATATTCTACGTTTTATTTCTAATTACTGAAAAGTGAATGTATAAGCATAGTGCTTCACAGAACTGCATTTTCCACCTGAGTACTGTTCCTTATGAATATTTAATACACTGTTAGGCTTGAACGTACAGTGTACATGCTAACTTGAATGTTGATTATTTCCTGATGTTTTGTTTGACAGATGACTCTTCAGCTCCAGAGCAGCCTCAGATGACCATTTCTGGTCAGATGATGTTGACTGATGAAACTCTTTCAGCTGTCTCAAAGTCTAGCAAGAATGCTGTAAAAAACAGTGACATAGAAACAGCAAACCTGTCCCCTAGCCTGATTCCTGCACAGCAGCCCACAATATCATTAATCTCGGATGACAATACAGATGCACTAAGCGTAGAGTCGCTTACATTGGTCCCACCAGTTGATTCACACAGCATTCGTACATTCAACTACATTCCTCATTCCTCTTTGCAATCTGAAGTTGAAGTTTGCAAGGTGAAAGAGAGAGAGGAAGAATGTTCTGACTGAAGGCAACCTTTGGACTCTGATAAGTGGTGAAGCATATGCAACCAAGTTCTTCGTCATTTTTTGGGCAAGTGTAGATACCTCTTGAACCATTAGAGGCCATCTGGTCCACAAGAAGAGGCCCACTGATGAAAGAGAATATTGGCAGCTTTTTGAATAAATGGGGGGGGGGGGACCTGTTTTGAGTCTGAACTGGATGTTTCCACACCCATTTATGTTATGCAAGAACATGAAAGTATTTCAGAGCACCTACTTTCTTTAAATACAGTTCCAGCTGCAGGAACTAGGTTAGTTGTAAAAGCTCTACAGTATTATAGCAAAGTGAAGAAATTTTGGGATACCTGGCTTCATTATATTGAATCATTATGTCTTTGAAACTGGAGACATGCCATTGATGAGGAAAAAAGTATATATTATTGTACAGATGTATCATTTCCATTTGAGACAAATTTTTTTTAATACTGATCTCATTCAACTTTTCGAGGTCTGCATGAGAACAGCAGGCTTGGCCACTTTCAGTGTTGTCTTCATAGGACTCTAAACTTCCATATTGTATTTTCCATGTGTAATATTTATTTCAAGGTTTGATTCAAAGCAAGATATATATCAAAGATTATTTTAAAGGTAAAAGCCTGAAACTTAAAAAGGCTTATTCAGGTTAACATTAGGGATTTTTGAGACTTCCTTAGTCTTCGCTTAACCATTTGCAGAAGAACGTAAAATGTTTTAAGAGATTGCTATAGCTTGTTCACTTCTGACAGTCAAATTGCTACTCATCTGAGGAATGATGAAATCACTTCTCCTGAAGGACAATTTTTAGAAGCAGATAAACAGTTGAAGAGTGGTTTGGTCTTTTTGGTGGTGGTGGTTTTTTTTGGTTTTGCATATTCATGTAGGACGAAGGTCACCACATCTAACTGATAACTCCAAGTATGAAATGCAAAAGGGAAGGTATTTTTTTATCTGGGATAGTATCACTGTTTTTAAAAAAAGAAAAAAAAAAGTTAAGTGAAATTGCTACATAAAAGTGATTGTGAGCTTATGCTTGCTTTACTTTGCCTCATAGATCCTGATATTGAGTTGACAAAGTAATGGAAGTTTTGATTCAAGTTTGGCATGTTTCTTGCTGACTTGATTCATAACTTAACATGAATGGAGTTTAAGCTTTCTCATCAGTTTCCATGTGTGTTAATTTAAATTAGTAATAAGATGAGCAGAATGTTATTGTTAGTCTGCACATAACATTATCAAGTGCTCTGTGGCTCTCAAAGGTTGAAGACTACTATTTGCTTTACGTGCTATTGTGATTTCAGTCATCAGTGCAATTCGATTCCTGATTTGTGTGTCTGCTTGCATTGATCTGGTATCAGATAGGTAAATCTGAAAAGTTTATACCTACTTCCAGTTTCCGTTCTCTTATTGCCTCTCTTTCTGGCTGTTAGATAGAACACTGGAACTGATTTTAAATAGTATATCTGAGATTGAATAATACACGGGTATAACTTCACTCACCTTTTCAGTCTTTTCCTTAATGTAGTAACTTAATCATTGCAAAACGTGCGTATACAGGATGTTTGCTGTTGAAAGACAGTAAATTTGCTCTTCCTTTATCAGCTTTAGCATGCTGTCTTGTTGATTTCTAGTTTTCTGTGGCTTCCACTTTGTATCAAATTGAATTAACCAATTTTCTGACCATTTCAGATAGGCTTAAACTCTAAATGAAATCTGAGAATTAGGCATCTTCAGGACTACTACGGATGTGGGATGAGAATTTGGCCTTGCAGCTGGAATGAGAGCCACCTTTTTTGTCGTATGCTTAGGGTAAGTTTACACTGCAGTCACTGTTGCAGTACCTGAACTAGCCTAGGCATCAGTAGCAGTTCGGCCACTGGGACCACATAAATTTTTATTATCTGAAGTGATTGCAGACTACACTTACTCTAAGATGTGGCAGTATTACACTGTAGCTCTGCTAATATTTTGAAGAACATTATAAAAAATGATGCCTTACTTAATTTGAAAACATTTTATGTTAGCTGTTAACCTTAACTCTTGACCTAGATTACAGAAAACGCCACTGTGCTGCTGAGTTCTCTTAAATAGAATTAATTTTAGACAGGAAAAACCTTGATCTTTATCTAATTTAAAATCCAGTTCTAGCAAGTTTAGGGCCATGCACAAAGAGGCTTTTTAATGGGCATGCATAATCTCACTCTTGAGCCATACTACAAAACAAGAAATGGGACAAAGGGAAAGAAGGCTGCTCTCCATTAACTTGGAGTGGCTTTTAAATCTCATGACCAATTGTCTACTGACCTCTCCACAGGAAAGGGCTGAGAGAAATAGATACTGCTATTGAGAAAATAGAAGACTAGGTCTACTGTGTAAACCACTCCTGGGAGAGCTTTGCAGGATGAGGACTGGTGAAGTGGGATATCTGTCGGCAGTTATGGCAAAAGCTCTCTGCAAATGTGCAATTACACTAGGAAAACTTCAGCCACCAATAGCTGCACCAGTATTGTGCTATTATACAAAAACTAGCAAAGTGTAAAGACCAACTTAAATTTCTGAAGGGTTGTGCCACAGAAGCAATTACTTTCTCTATTTGTTTATAATATTAAGACATGTAAAAAAAAAAAAAAAAACCTGCCCATGCTTCATGCAGCAGTAGGACTGTTCAGGATGTAAAAGATCTGGAGATGCTGAAATGTCTGTCATCTGGCAATCTTTTATCTCTCTAAAAGTATGATGTTACTCATCTACAGTTCCTTGAAGAGCATCATATTTATCTCTATTATCAGAAAAAATCAAGGGCTGTTTTCTTAACCCCCCCCCCTTCACTGTAAAAAGGAAACTCAACCAAGAAAGCAGTAGCAAAGCAGCCACAAATTTAACTTTTTTCTAAACAAAAGTTGATTTGAATCAGCATAGCATCATTTTTTAAAGAAATCCAAATAAGTTGCAAAGGACAAGAGCAACCAAACAACTGACCATTCACAGGCTCAATATTTCAATGTAATACCACAGATGGAAGGTAGGGAAACTAGAATCACTTTAAAAATAGACGCAGAAATGGTCCAGGGCAGAATGCTGAAATTTCGTATGAGATGCTAAATTCTCAGTGTTTGTTTGTAAAGGCTGTGCTTATTTTCAACCACATTTTATGGCTTTGCTGAATATTAACATAAAACAGTTCTATTATTCCCATCCCCTTGAGAAAAGCCAGTGAAGTCAAGGCATACTAATTATTACTTTGCTATTTCCTGATCTATGCCTCCCATATTTATCAAATTTTACCAATATATTACTATTTTTTAAACAGAAGTATATGTTGCCTTCATAGACTTTTCATATCTTGCTTCCTCTTATTGGCTCCTTTTTTTTCTCTCTCATCCAGTGTACAATGTCAGACAACATTTTAGCTTTTCCCTCTTGAAGAGTAATGGCAGCATACTTTTTGTAATCTGGTAAAGAAGGGGAGAAGAATAGCGCCTAATTCTAATATGTATGTGCCTCACTAGTGAAGTAATACTTGCAGTGTAAAACTTGTGTAAGAATTTTTTTTTCCAAAGTGTTTCTGATAATGAAAGAAACTAGACATTGTTTCCTGTACTTCATTTTATGGGCTGTGTGGATTAAACCAAATTTGTTAGAATCTTAGTCAAATGTATTCCTACTGGAGCCTATATTTGCATGTGAAGTCATGAATTATCTACAGTATAAGGACTGAGGTCATTCATATTCTCCACTGCTAACTCGTGATAAATTCCAATTCTGACTTTTATTGCTTAAACTAAGCTGAAGTTTCATATACATATATATATATATATGTGTGTGTGTGTGTGTATATATATATAATTACACCTGTTAAACTCCTCAGCATTCTTCACTTTACAGCATGGAATTTTCTTTCACATAATTCACTCAGTGAGGAAAAATTAGGGCTATCTTTCAGAATGAAATTTACTTTTTTGAAATACTGTTGCTAAAGTGTAGGCACGTGAGATTTAAAACCCCTTCTTCTGTATCCAGAATTTGACTTAAATCTGAATCGATACTCACGGTTTAAATCAATGTCCAGTGATTCACAAAAACCCTTTGCCCATCAGTAACAGAATACAAGGGAGAAAAAACATTCCTTTGTGGATTTGAGGTATTGTTATTGCATACAGAATCGTAAAATAGAAAGTTAAAGTAGTTTAGCTATAGCAAAATCAGCAATACTCAGCAGGACTTAAGTTACTGTGATATTTTCCAATTAAGCAGTAAGACACAAGTAGCTGTAATTTCCACGCTTACAGCAAGTGGCCTTGGATGATTATTCTAACCAATCTAGAAATTCAATAATTGCCCTGTAATTGAGTTTCATTTTGCTAATAGAAAATGTTTTTTTTTCATAAAGTATGTAAAGCTGTTAAAACTGTATGCTTAAAGACATAGATAAGCTATTAGATAATCAGGTCAAACTTTATGTAAAAGTATGAAGCCACTTCATAAAAGTAAATACTAATGACATTTTGTTGCTTGTACTCTAGTCACTTTTTTCTGTTTTCTTTTTTCTTTTTTTTTTTTTTTTTGCACAGGTGTTATAGGTAAATGACCACAGAATAGCCTAATGAATAATTTTGCTAACCCGTATGTACTACTTTTCCAAAAAGTAAGAATGCAAAACATTGATGTTGACTTCACTAGCCAGCTTAAGTTTAATGGTGAGTTGCTTTTAAATGGACACTGCACAGGCAGCTGTTGTCTAGGAAGCTAAACCTATTAGTTATATGGCTGAATAAAAGATTTGGAAAGAGACATGGAACAGGGGCAGCAGTGAGATCAAGTCATTGTGCCTCAACAATAAGAAGTCTGCTTGATGAGTCTCCTACTCATTGTCAGACAACATAACCTCGGGTGTCTAAATATATGGTTTGTTTAAAATCCTCATCCTAACTGCTGTCCCTCTTGAAGGAGCTTCTTGGTGCTGTCACTGTCTGACAACCCTACCGTAGGATATCACTAGCCTAGATGCTGTATATTTATTATCTAGAAGGTTTTTTAGAGGGATGGCTCTCTGTCTTGCCTGTTCTGTTGCTCTCATCTTTCCCCACATTGGCAGCACAAATTAGAGATGTATATTATAATTCTTACTGTCTCCTATTAGCTCTTGAAAAATCGATGGTGACCCAAGCAGGACTTGCTAAGGTGTGGGGTTTTTTTTGGAGGGGGGCGAAGGGGAGGTCCTTGTTTTTCTGTTGCTCAGCATTTTCGACCAGTAACAGAGGCACAGAGGAGATGCAGTTCTGCACTGACTCTCAGTCAGAATGTTCTTTCATATGGAAACGTATTTTTATATTACATTTATACAGAATTGCCCCTATTTTGAGCTCCCAGAATTTTTAAAGATCTGCACATTGCTCAGATTTGATTCCTTTGGAAGTTGTTATAAAATATGTATTTTATGTTTGCTAATGTATTATAAATGTAAAACTAAGCTTTGCTTGTATAATAAATATACCCCATGGAGGTACCAGTTTTATTTGCTAACTTGATAGGTTCTTAATGAATACAAAAAGCAAAACTTGTCATTACTGTGACTGTTTTGTTAGCATAAATGAAGGGGAGGAATGCATTTTTTTTAAACAAAGTAACTACATAGGGCTTAAGCAGACAGTGACTAAGAATACTTGGTTAGTTTTAAGTTGTTGGTGACAAAAATTAGAGTTAAACAAGGTTCAGGCTAGAATATTACGTTCCTAGGATTCTTTAAGATAGTGATCTTAAGATACATGAGGTTGGGGGGGGAGCAGTGCTGTGTTCTGTTTGGTTTTTTTTCCTCTCTTTTCTCCATTGCTTTTGATTCTGGATTTCTACACTAGTGTAAAGTCAGTATAAGGTATGGTAATTGCCATCTGGTACCCAAGTATATATGATGAATCAAAGGAGATGAGGGAGTCTGTCTTTTTCTGTTTGGGTGTGTTTAAGGACTAACGCTTGCAGAAATATTTACAGTGAACATGAAGTTAATTGAGAATAGGTTCAAGCTTGCAAGTGTATGGACCATTAGAATTTCTAAGAGTTTTGTTTTGCCCAGCGATAGCACTGGATAATAGATTGTTATGACTCTAAGAGACCTGCTGGAAACACTGTAAACTATGGGGGTTAACCTCAGGCAGATATCTGCATTTGTGAATGTGTGTGTTGGTACTTTGTTGCAAACTCTTTAGTTCATTTTGAGCTGCTCTGCTGTTTGGAAAGTTTGTTAGTGTTAAGTGCAAAGAGGAGAAAAAACATATTTTTCTAGAAGAATGAATGTACTTGGGCTTTGAACATTACATAAAGCATTTAGTGAATACAAAGGACTGTCGTCTTATGAAATATATTTCAATAATGTTGTGTTTGAAATGCTTTTTTAATCAATTACAAAAAAGTCATCCTGAACATGCACTTACATTTAAATGGAAAAAAGTCTGAAAAAGTTCTACAGGGTGAATTGAATTCTGAAATGTCTTCTCTTCAGGCAATAAGTATTAACTATGTAATGTAAGCTATGTTAGACATTCAGAGTAAATGTGTCAGTACCTAATGTACTTAAAGAAAAATGTAAATAGGTGTCTGAGAAGGGAGCAGAGCTAGAAAATGCTGATGTGTGGTGCCGAAATCCAGATTTCTGTAGCTGTGTCTGTATTTGCTGGCATTAATCATGTGTCATGGCTATTGAAACCCTGGACAAGAATGAACAATAGACCTTTCTTTGTAAATGGAACTTGGCAATAAAAATGGTGTTACTGAACCCTTCCTTTCCTTTCATGTTCTGTTGCTGGCTTTGGTACACAAGGATATTCAATAACAGTGAAATGCACAATTTGCAGAAGCTTGCTATAGTTAAGAATACTGTGCATGTGTGAACATTAAGCATTTTAATCTTTAAGCTGAAATCTGAAATGGCGGAAGGATTTTGGTATTGTGTGCATAGGAGAGACTCAGCAGTGAGAGAGAGAGAGAGAGAGAGAGAGCAGCACAGAAGGTGTAGAGGTGATGGAAAGTAGACCAGTCCAAGGGTTAAGAGTGGCTGGGCAGCAGTTAGCGTCTGTGAACCACTTTGAAAGGACCCTTTTGCCTGTCATGTATGATTTCTTCCACAAATATATCCTGGTACCCTCTGCCTCTTTCTCTGGTGCCTGTTGCCAGTTCAGTATATGGATCAAATCCAACTGAGTTATTAGTTGGATTCTTGTTAATTAGCCTCTTCATCTATATAGGCATTAATTACAATCAATAATTGTTCCTTGAGAAATGTTATTTCTCAAACTAGGCATTGCTCCAGAAGTTTTCTTGGGAAGAAATTAATCACATGGTACCATGAGATAAGCAAGCTAGGTATGTAATAGGTAGGAGTCAATACTGTTCTTTACCACAAGGTGTTTAAAAAAACAAACAAACAAACATGATGTGGGAGGAAAAATGAGCTTAAATCTGCTGCTGGCAATCAGACTTTCTACATCATGCCAATGATGTAGATTTGAGGATACCAACTTTATAATTCATGGCTTTCTGTATCCTTACGGCACCTCAGAACTCTTGCAGCCTTTTATCTTGTAGCTTTTCTTCTCTTTCTGTACAAGGTCTTTTTAGACAGGGACGCTGAATCAAAGAGAGGTTCAGCATCTTGCCATGCATTACTAGTGGTCAGAGATGGAATGAAAAGCACAGTCCCAGCTCTTCTTTTCCTTCTCATTTTGACTAGGATCAAAATGAGCTCAGTGGATATGCAATGCTGCATTTGTCCACTCATTAATCATCATGAATATATACATTCTACTGCTTGAAACAGTTGTTTAATAGATGAATCCACAGTTTTACCATTTAGATAAACTATAACTATGCTGGGATAAATTATATGTATAGTTATATAAATAAGTGGAAGTGTGCCAACATATATACCTTTATCAAAGTAGCTTTTGTCTAAGTAAAGATGCAGCATGTGGAGACTGCTATCTTTATTTGACACCTAGACTGCTGGTACATATTTCTATATCAAAATAAGAGTTCAGTGAGGATTTAGCTGTTTTGGTAGGAAAAAAATCACATCCCTAACTATATTTTTATGCTGTTGTGTTAGAGCTTGTATGTAGAAAAAGCCAGTAGCAGTGCTTTCTGATGATCTTTGAGTACGTGCTGCATACAATGGGAATCCAAGCATGGATTTGACAGAGGAGTTAAGAATTTTCATGTAAGCTTTCTCCAAACAGATTAACTTTGTACCTGCATAACTCTATTTTGGCAAAGTTTTATGTAAAAGCGTTTTTAGAGCTATCTGCTGAAATTCAAGAATTTTTTTGAAAATGTTCAGGGACGTCCCATATTTCATGCACTTATAAAATAAGCTAGTTGTAAATATTCCCATTTTAGTTTTGTGTTGCAAGCTTGACTTTTTTTTCCATAGAAGAACAGTACAGTAAATCCAAGTTGCCTTTAAAAGTTAACATGAACGTTTGGTTGGACAAAGAACACTTCCCTTTTTTCTTTACTCCTTTGCTTTCCCTCCCTGTTAAAAGAAAAGACAAGTAAAATAACTTGTGTTTGCCTATGGCAAACTCACCCATTGTGAAATACTAGTTAAATTCTCAGCTTAAAATTGGCAGGTCTTAATGCAGTCCCACTTGGCCAATGCAAATATGAAAGATGAAAAAAAAATCAGTGTAATTATCACTTTAAAAAAACACACACAAAACATCAAAACTCTATATGCGTTAATCAACAGTGATTAATTACTTTTCAAGGCAATTTATCATTGCCCTGATCATGAGACAGTTCTATCAGAAGTTAATCTCACAAACGTGGAGTCTGGTTGTGCTATATAGGAAAATATTATTTAGAAAGCTGGCTATATTACTGGGAGGAAATGTTTTACCTGAACACTCAGACACAGGAATCACTTTGTCCTTGTAGTGGTTTGTGCTTCAGGTTGTGTGTGTTCATTGTGGAAAACATTCACAAAATACCTTGGCAATGCTCAGCCTTCTTTACATAAATGTCTTTGCAAAATGAATCATCCAATACCTCCAACTGATACAGAGGACATATCCAGCCTTTCCATTACATCTTATCTGTAATAAAAGACTCCTACCATTACATCATATACAAGTAGATTTTCTTGGATACATCATCTTTGCTGACTTCAGTCTCCAGAATTTTCACACACATCTTTGTCAAGCATAAGATGCAAAATTAAGCAACTATGATGAGGCTCTTCATATTGCATGTTTTTCCCCACTTGCTTGTATGTGTGAGCAGACAGAATTATAAATATTCTAGAAATGTACCATGTGTTTCTAACTCTTTGTGTTAAATGCACCTCAGTTATGACTGTGAGGGAAATGACTGAATGAGAGCAAGTTATAGAGCTTAGCGAATCAGTCTAATTAGCTGTGCATCCAGAAACACTTCATGTGCATTCTGTATGTGTGAGCATATTGCCCGAAACGTCTTTTGACAGTTAAACCAAACCTTTTCATTCAAATAGGGAGTAGACACAGTGGGAGTTGCAACTCTTCACTGACAAAATTAGAAAAAAAGGTTTCAGGCAAGGTCACGCAGTGAAGACAGCTAAATTGAGGGGGAGTAACTAAGTCAGTGTAGTTTGACAGTGTTCAGTTGTGTGTCTGTTTTAGCTGGAAGATGCTACCATTAGCTTATCTGCAATCGTGTCTAGATAATGAAATTATTAGTGCTTTTAGGTGCCAGTTTTGTAAAATTGATCTTAAGAGGCCAAATTTTTAGAGATTACCAAGTGCCTGACTTAAAAACAAAAAACAAAAAAAAAGCAAAGCTATTCTGGTCTCGATCTCAATTCCTGTCTACAAAATTAAAAAATTTAGGCTTAATCTTAAGAGATCTTTTGACGTATTTTGAAACTTTTGCCAGTCCTCAGAGACTCATTCAGAATGTTGGGAAATGTGCTTGTTGAACAGAAAACACTGATCTCATCATTCCATCCTCACTGTCTTGCCCCCAAATAAAGCTTTATATATCACATAGGCCACAGTTTAATTTTATTTGGCCTGTTGAGATGACTGATAAGGACAGATGAATACTATACTCGGGCTCTGCTTCCTAGTGACGCATCATTTTCTCAACTTTAGTATGCAATAAACATTGTGACACCGGGTGGGAAAACAGGCTGTTATTTTTACTGCGGAAATAAATTTAGAGTTTAAGTTAATTGGATGAAGACATCTTTGTGTAAATTTGTCCTCCTTTTTGGATCATTTATTTGATGCTGTTTTAGCCTGCTGAGAAACTGCCTAGAAGAGCATCTAAAACTACAAAAATTGCGCTTAAAACTTTAGTAGATGAAATGAGTACTATGGACAGCTGTAGCGACCCAATTGTCTGAGCTGGATGCAGGAGTTTAAGTGATTGGCACAGGAGCAAAAAAGATGATTTCTAGCCTCTTGCCGGAAAACTTACCAAAGCAGTTGTTACAAATAAAACATTTGGGAGAGATTTATTTTAGTACAGATAATGATAATAGTATACTTCTTGAAGCTTTCTACCTCTGCTGTTGTTAAATGTGCTCTTCCAAAATGGATCATTTATTCCCAAGGAATGTTGGGCTCTTTACTTCCATAATATTGTTTTTGTGAATGAATTAAATGGGCTGTAAGCACAATGTACTTTGCTAGAGTTCTCTATGAAGTTGAAACAAAACGGAACAAAAGCCTACAGAAAACTGAAAAGTTAACTGCAGTCTGATCTATCGGGTATATGTACCAGCATGGACCTGCCCCCCAGACTCTTTGCAGAAAGCTGAACTTTTGTAGTAATATTTCAAATATGCCAACTTCACTTTCTCCTATTTCCAGAGGATTGGGAAGTAATTTGATGGGGTTTATGGAAAAGTTAATCACAGTTACGCTGCTTTGCTCTTTATTTCCAGCTGCAGTTTCAAGTTGCATGTTGAAGGACAAGTGAGTCAAGGAAGCAGCTAGTCAGACTATCACCACTGCAGAGGTAGTCAGAGCTTGCTCTCCCTCAACAGCTAGAGCTACCAGAAATAGAAAAAAAGAGTTTCTGAAGGAGGAGAGAGGCAGAATCAACATTAACATCTTAAAGAACTAACTTCAAGGCAGCCGAGGGAGATGGGGCCTACAAAGGACAAAGGTAGGCTCTGTTTTCCTGAGAGATCCTGGTTGTATAATGTGTGTATGCACACACCCTTCCTGCCCGGAATAACAATGGAACGCTCTGTCCAGCATCTGACACTGAGGGAAGCTTCTTAAATGTGCTTCTGATTTAAACAAAATCCATAAAGCAGCAAGCTAGTATTGTATGCAATAACAACAAGGCTTACTCCTGGCTGTCCCTTGTGGAGTAAAGTAACTATACTTCCACTTATCCCAGGTGCTCTACTGCTCTGACACATCCTGGTAGACTAATTAATGTTATATTATTTAGACTATTAAACAAAGTGTTTGAAATTACATAATACATATTGCCGAGGAGGGAAAGAAAGAAGCCAAAGTTATCCCAGTGGGTGATGACAGGTACTGCTGACTTTGGACTATTCGAATTTGAGGGAAGTGGTTTGCAGATGAATATGCCCCATCACCAGATGGGGCGTTGTGCTGCTCCTCCTGTTCCTTTTGATGTCCCTGTTCAGGGAAGGTACTGACTCTGACTAATGGAGATGGACAGGCAAAAGGTAAAAGTATGATTCTTTAGTGTCTGATCAGTGAAGAAATTCCTCATTTGTCACATCATTTTCTACAGAGAGATTGTAGAATAGCT